CCCTATGGCCTCCTGGGCCCTTCTAGGACATCTGTCCTGTCTCCTGACAAACCCGACCTCAAGGCATCCAGCAAAGGAGAAATGCCACAGGGTCTAGCCCAGGGTCATAAAGCAGGGGGAAAAGTGTGGCCCTGGGGCTGACAGCTGGCTCGGTCCTCTCCGGGCCACTCAGCGTCTGTGTGAGCTCCTAGCCCATGGGACTTCCAAAGGACAGTGGGCACCTCTGCTCAGAGAAGGGGCCTGCACACCATCCCAGAAGTGGGGACCGTCCCAGCAGCACCCTGCCCGGCGCTGGCTGCATTCAGTGCTTCCAAATGGAGCCACGGCTCCAAGGGAATTTTTTCACCTGATGACTAGAAAGAAATTAGAAAGGAAATTATGTACAAGGAGCTGCAGCCCATGAAAAGCACAGGTGCCTTTTATTATTAGCTGGAAAGGTGTCTGATAATGTTCACGGTGGGGCTCTGCCAAGGCTGGGCTGAGCCCCTCACCCGGCTCATGGGCAGCCGAGGGTCTTCCAGCCCCATTTCCTGCAGCCTGACCTTTGGGCTGATGGGTCCAGATAGGTCTCTGAGAGCAGGGGCTTGAGAGCCTGCAGAGCCCATCTACCTGGCAAACCGCGTGCAAACAGGGAGCAAGACAGAGATACACAGAAAGAAGGCGGGAAAAAGCAAGCGCAGGAGAGTGTGTCAGGTGTGTCCACTGACTTTCCACCACACAGCCATCCTGCCCCCTTGTAATGGGCCCAATGCATATCGACTTCTCTGGGCAGTCAGACCAACAATCACATCCCCTTGGGGGGAGAAAGGAGGAAGCGGGCAGAGCAGACCTGAGGAGGGGGAGGGGTTGGCCAGGCCTACACGCTGACCCACAGAGCAGAGTAGCAGGGAGGCTGTCCGTGCGTGAGGGCTGCTCGTGTGGTGACCACACCCAGGGCGAAGCCTGGCTCCTCCCGTCCCACTTGAGGAAGCATTCAAAATGCAAGCAGAGCAGATTCATCACAGCGCAAGTCTCCGGTCTGTTCCGGACGATCGAAAGCATCATTCTCACACTTTGGCACTTCAGTCATTGCTGCTACCTAGTGACGCCTCACCGCTGACCGCGACCCGAGGTCCCAGCTCCTGCTCTGGAAGCTGGACAAGTAGCCTCCACGCGTGTTCCTCTCCTTCGAGTCTGGACTCCAGAGCCCAGGGTCCAGGTTGGGGGGCAGGGCTGGGGCCGAGGGGGCTCCAGCAGAGGAGGAGGGAGGGCGGCGATGACTCGTAATTGCCGGAATGGACTCAATCGTCCATGGGGACAATCTCGTAACTGTATCCAACTAAGACGTTATTTCTGGGACAAGTTATTTTTACACAGGGAATTATTCTGAAAGGTTTGTCTGAGTCTGTTTAATAATCAAAAAAAAAAAAAAAAAGAAAACAACTTGCCTATTTATAGCCTTCAAAGTATTATTATTTTTTTAATATTTTGGCCGTGCCATGAGGCTTGCGGGATCTTAGTTCCCCGACCTTGGACTGACCCTGTGCCCTCGGCAGTGAAAGCGTGGAGTCCTAACCACTGGACCGCCAGGAAAGTCCCCAAAGTACTTTCACATACATGCTCTCATCCCCCGACTTCTCTCCCCTTCCTTCCCTGCTCCCTCTCCTTCATTCAAAACCAATTTTGTGCCCTTCCCGATTTTGGGGTGGGGGCAGCTCTTGTCTTCTGCGGATCAATCATTTAATTTCTCCCATTGTCCCTTGTCAACCTTTGACCATTCTTCTGTTAACCTTTTCACTGGAAGTTCAACCTTTGACCATTTTTCTGTTAACCATTTCATCTCATCAGCTGGGTGATGAGATGAGTTGCTGAAATGAGGTCGGAGACCATCCCGGGGTCTGATTCCCCGCGTTCCCCTGGCCATCCGCCCCTTTGGAGGATGCGAGCGTCGTCTGAGAGTTAAGGGCGTTTCTGTGAGTCTAGGAAACGGGACGAGAAGGCGAGAGGGGTGACCCGACCGAACCAACGTAGACATTGTTAAGAAATTTATTTGCAATTCTTGTTTTTTGTTTTTTTTTTTTGGTTTGTTTTTTAAATAACATCATTCCTTAGATAAAAATGCAATCTTACAGGAATATACATAGCGTCTCACACAGAGATGGCCCTGAAGCTCTTCTCGATTCCCTGGTCTTTCTCGAGGTGAGAGGGGACCCAGGCGAGGCCGCTGACTTGGGGTGATTTGATGATTACAAACTGTACAACAGTATTTACAACATGAGGCTGTGAAGCCGCAGGGCCCGGAGGGAGGTGTACGGGACGCAGGGGGTGGGGAGGGGATGGGTGCAGGGGCGACGGCGGCGGGGGCCCCGACCTCTCAGAACGAGCATGATTCGGTGGGTCGGAGGATGAAGGGGGTCCGAGCCGGGACGAGAGGCGAGGGGGGTGGAGGGGCTGCGTCCGTACCTCCCGCACAGAGGCCCTTGTCTTGGTAGCTCAGGGGCGTCAAAATAAAACAGGGAAATTGTGACAGCAATAGACACTCTGGCGCTTCACCAACCAATGGGGGGCCCGTCACCCTGATTCTTAGTGGACGTGTGTTTTCCACGGTGGTTCTTGCTGCAACATCACAGAATAGTCCAGACCTGCTTGTGCCTTGGACATCCCAGCCTCCAGAGCCAGACCTTATTCCCTCGAGGCTCTGGGAGAACAGTGGAGGGGGAAGGGCAGGGTGATCAAGGCCAGACTCTGAGGGTGGGTGGGATGCCCTTGACGTGCCGGCAGTAAGGGGCCTCGGCATCTGGGTCTCCGGGGCCGCCTTCTGAAGGAGACCTTGGTGCTGGATTGTTTGTTTGCAAACCGTCTACCCTTGAGTCCCAAGTTCTGTTTTTCCCTTTCAAGCCTCAGCATGGTGTCTCCATGGTGGGACATCTTGGGGGAGGGGGGCTTGGAACCCAGTGACCCGTCTAGGGACAGGGCCTCCTCTGCCCCCTGCTCTGGGCTTTGGGGCCCCGCAGGACACGCCCTCAGGAGCCAGGGCAGTGGGTGGTGACCGAGGCCGGGCCCCCTTCTCCCTCATGCTGGCCCACAAACCCAGGGGCACCGAGGATGGCGGAACGGGAGCCTCCGGGCCGCACCGTGACTGGGAGGCACTGTGCCCACCTCCGTGTCTCCTACAGACACGGCCCTCCCCTGAAACAGGCAGCCTCTGACCCCAGAGCGGCTCAGATGTGAGCTCGGTGAAACATTTTCTCACTCACGAGTCCTCCCAGGTGGTGAATTGTCGTAAATGTCTGATTCACGTGGACCAAGTGTCACACTACCTTTCCAGGAGCCGCATCCAAGTCACACTACTTATTCTGAAACCTGGGTGCCTGGATGCCCCACAAAAGGGGAGGCGCCTGCAGCAAGGCAGCCCCAACCCACAGGAGGCTGTGGGCTCGGCTGATGTGACAATCCAAACCCTTGTTCCGCCCTCTAGTCCCCATCTGGGCGTCCCTGATTTAGGGGAGAAAGGGAATGCCCATGGATGGTAGCACCTCCGACTGCTCTCAGGGTTCAGTGATTTGCCCAACTCAGCCTAACGGTATATTCCATACATTCCGCTGCAGTGGGCAGTTCCCCTTCAGAGAGCCCACAAGGAGGCTGTTCTAAGACACCAGGGAGCCTCAGGGGCTTCGCCACCCACCTGCTGTGGACCAAACTTCCTAAAATCATGGCAAGAAAAAATCTTGACTTTAAGAGTGGTGGTATTTTCTCCATGAAGAGAAATGATATTTAGTTCATAGTAGAATTCAGTCCGGACGGCACATTTCCACCCGGGGGAGCACCTCTGCTTCTCTCTCCAGTCAGCACGCAGCCTTCTGAGAGGAGGACAAAGCCAGGCGTCTTGGTGCCAGCCCGAGGGCCAGCGCCTGCCCCGTCAGGGTGCGTGCGCGTGTACAAGACCATGTGTCGGTGTGCACGCGTATGGGGTGCAGGTCTCTCCCCAACGATGCGGAACCCTGGCAGAAACACATTTACCTGATGGTTTGCTGCCTGGCCTCACAAAGCGGGGTCTCGTTGGAAACAAAAATAAATAAATAAATAAAGTTAAAACCAGAAATGGCTTCACAAAGAAACTATGTTAGAATATGCTCATACGCCCCCTCTCACTGAACCAGGGGAAGAGGGAAAACGGGGGGCTGGGGAAAGGGAGGGAGGCCCACCCTGACGCGGGCGCAGCTGCCAGGAGAGCTGGGCACTGGCTTCCTGTGGTGACCTCGGGGTATCCCCCCAGCCCGCCTGTCGTCCCACTGGAGCCCGTGGCCCACACGCGGGAGGAGTGTCCGCAGAGAGGGGGACAGGGTGGCAGACACCCCTATCGGCCAGAGACAATGGTTTGGCTGGGAAAACAGCACCAGAGCACTTTTATTTTTCTCTTCTTCTATGGTCGATCTTGAGGCCTCTGCCTCTCAGCTGTCCCGGCCACGGCGGGCAGTCACACTGGACACTTCCTTCCACAAAACGGGAGCAGACACAGGGGGTCAAAACATGCCCCCTTTTGCCCCAGTTTCCCTTCGGTTCAGTGCTGGCACTTTCCGCAGACCAGAGGCCGGTCTTTAAAAAAACAGACCTGGCCTGGGCTCTGGTTCTACTGACCAGCGGCTTAGAGGGTCGACACCAGGTCGCCCGGCCCTTGGCCTCTTGGACAGTGACACGCCCGTCCTTCCAGGTCTCGCTGGGCGCGGAGCTGCCACCCCCATGCCTAGCAATGCCTGTGACGATGGTCTGACGAGGCTGTAGGCCTCAACCACGCGGCCTCCTCCCTGTGCTGGTCTAAGTTCCGCTCTGTTTCTTGGCCTATGGGGTGGGGGGGCACATACTCTCAACTGGCCCCTGGGAAGCAGCCCTCACCCCCTCGACGACCTCCAAGCTCCTCCCTTTCAGGGGCTCTTCGTCCTCAGAAAGACAGTACATTGGCCTTGGAGGGTGTGGTGCCCTCAGCTAACTGATGGGGAGACGGTGTGGCGGGAGGACGGCCGGCAGGAAGTGATGGGCAGCTCAGGACGAGGCCCCGCAGCTCGGAAGCTGCGGCGTGGAGGAGGATAAAGACGGGTAAGGCAGACCCTCGGGTCCCAGTCAGACTGAGAGGATGAGGGAAGAGACTGGACGAAGAGCTTCTGAAGCAAAGCAGAGAAAAATTCGCGGATCAAGCCAAAATCTGGGGGAAATGTCTGCATCTTAACCCAAGACCAAAAAGAACCTTCTAGGAGGCGGGTGGAAAGGAAACAGCTGGGAATCAAGCCAAGCACGTGAGTAACTGTAGGATTAAGATGGAAACAAGAGGCTGTGGCCCATCAGGGGACAGACACAGACCAGCTTCACCAAACCCTGAGCCTGAACTCCTCAAGTCCTTCAGGTCCTTGGCCATCATGGCTTTTCTCCTGCCGCTCAAGGGCTTCAGAAGACACAATGGTTCTGCTTTCCAAGGTCATGGGAAGATTCTGGTTTGGGTGCAGAGGTGGAGACCACGCCACGGATGAGGCTTGGGAGGATGGGTGCCGACCCCCCCCCCCCCCCCGATGGGTCTTCCCGACAGAGACAGAGCTGACGGCAAAGGAGAAGCATGCTTGCAGTGCGTGCAGTGATGGGGGGTGATGCGCTTGGCGGAGCCCTGGGAGTAGCTGGCATAAGCCCAGCACGAGCCGGTCGCTGAGATGTGGTGACACAGACGAAAAGCCCAGAAGGAAAACAGAAGACAGCACGAGAAGGCCGAGTGTGTGCCGGCGTGTGTGAGGTCAGCTAAGAGTCCACGGTTCTATCCAGGGGCCAAATGCACAGAAAGAGCTAGGTATCAACCCCAAAGGGCTCCGCTCTCCATCAGAACTAAAATCCTAGCAGCCGCGGCAGACATTTAGGGAAACGGGACAAAGGACCTGAATGTAACTCCTACAAGACCTCGATGGCACCAAGAAGGAGCCCAGAGACTGGAAGGGCTGGGCTTGGAGGAATAGGGAGCAGCCCTCGTATGTGTTTACCTGGGGGCGTGCGCATCTGTCCACCACAGAAAAACTCATCTTCACGGAGCCGCGGGCACTGCCCGGCTTTGACTTCTAAGTTGCTCACGTAAGTCAGCGCCAAGAAGGGCTGAGCGAGCCCGGGGCTGGAAGAGACTCAACGGGGAAGGTCTGGATGAACGGTTGGGTCCTGCTTCCCCCGAATCGGTCACTGTTGGAACCTGTTTGAAGGATGTAGCACCCAGGTGATGTCCAGGTGGGTGCAGGGGTGGAGAGACGCCCCCACAATGCCTCCGGCTCTGCCCTCACCACGAGTTCCCCACGCGCCACCCGCCTCCGGTCCTCGTCCCTCCGTGGCTGCCGTACCACGAGGGGTGGGCTGGAGGAGACCCTGTTCCAGAGTGAGTGAAAGATGGAGAAGCGAGCAGGATGGACTTGGCTTTGGACGGACAGGATGCACCTGCTGCCTGGCTCCGGCCCATGCTGTCGGCTGAGGACCCCCTCCCCTCCACCCTCCCGGTCAATGGGCACTTCCCTAAGGAACGTTTGTGCCGGGGGGGGGGGGGTTGGTGGTGAAGGGTAAGGTCAACCACCTTTCCCAGGGGGCACCCGGTGATAAAAGAGGCTGCTTAGGGCGCCTCATGGCCCATCACGGTGCAGGGCTCTCCCTGGAGAAATTCCAACTCTGAAAACCAGGGCAGAGCAGACAGAGTGACGCGGGAAAAAGACGGGTCCTGGTCTCTCAAAGCAAGACACAGATGCACCTATTACCCCGTCTGGGGAAAACTGAGGGAAATGGAAGAGAACACAAGATATGCAAAACAGTGATGCCCAAGCTTGCGTCGGGACCCACACGGGTAGTGCCGGCACTTGTCACACAAATGACAAGAAAAGCTGCCCCCTTTTTCCCCAGCCACACGCAGAAAAGCACTTAAGAGCTCAGAGGTGAAGCTTGTCACACTCCAAATACAAAATGATTTACTTACATGCAGCAAATATACAAGAAGTGAATCCAAAAACAAACTTAATTCATTATATTCGCCTGGCACAACTGCAATTCAGTTTTAAAAAAATATTTGTAAAATACTGAGACTGACCTGAATTCAAGTATAACGGTCTCTTCAGCAGAAACACCATCAATGCAGTAAAACATTACACGGAACAAATCTAAGCAAAATGCCTCTGAGTTTCTCCCTTAAATTTCTGTGTGGTTTTTTTTAACACGGTTTTAATGCCAACACAACTCACAACTGTGTTTTTAAAATGAGTATTATTGCATTGTTTTTGCATATCTTGTGGGACAGAAAATGCAGAGTTACTGATTCCCGTTTCAGAAGCAGAGACAGTGGTTTGCTTTTGCTTTCAAACGGCCCCAGATTTAGAGCTCCCCACCCGTAAGCCCCAAGGGGAACTGCGGGCGGACTGGCGGCCCGGGCGTGGCGTGGCTGCAGACTCAGCCCACGCCCGCACACACACAACCCACCGTACACACGGCACACACACTCGCAGAGACCCCGTGCGGCTTCCTCTCTCGGGCACGTGCTGCTACACACATTTGTGCAAGACCCTACCAAGTGCATTGCTGATCACCTTCAAATTATGAAACCAAACCGAAGAAATCTTGTCACTACCTAAGGAAATGATAAACTATTGGGCATACACCACGGCTGGTAAAACTCTCCCACGGCGGCTCTGTTGAATCCTCCGTAGAAAAGGAAACCAGGACCGTTAAATAATACAACAAAACTGAACCCGATTTACATTTGCAAAAGTGAGAACGGGAAGGTGCGTGTGGCTGCAAAACTTTGTAAACACTCTTCTCTCTCCCCTCCCCCTGGGAAAACAAAAGTATAAAAAAACAAAACCCCCCAAATGAAAACTGCAACATGCTGTGAAGAAAAATGTCAAATCCCCAAACAAAAGAGCGCTGGACAGACGCTCAGCACCACCGGTCTTGTCCCGGCGGGCGTGCCCGCTCCCCCCGCGCCGACGGTGCGGCGTGGCCGTGACCATGGCCGGGTGGGAAGGGGGTCCAGACACGGGTGGCGCAGGGGGCGGTGGCCAGCCTTGGCTTGGAGCTGCAGCGCCCTCCCCTCCCCAGGGCCTGGCCGCGGCCTCCTTCCTTCCGTGAAGGCACAGGGCCCTGGCTCTATGGGGACGGTGAGGCTCGTACAGAATATGTGCAAAACGAGTTCTTGACAAGCAGAGTTGAAAGACACCCGTTTGGCGTAGGGTCCTTTGGGTGAGGGCTGAGGGAGCCGAGGCGGCGGCGGCGGCGGCGGGGTGGGGGGGGACGGC